CTTGCCAGCAAGTTAAGGCAGAACATCAGCACCCGGCAGGGCTTTTGCAGCCACTCACCATCCCAGAGTGGAAGTGGGAGCACGTGACCATGGACTTCGTGGTGGGACTACCACGAACAGTGAACAACTATGATGCAGTTTGGGTAGTAGTTGATAGGCTCACCAAGAGTGCACACTTTTTGCCTGTCAACATTACTTATCCTCTTGAAAGATTAGCCAAGCTATACACGGAGGAGATTGTGAGATTACATGGAGTCCCCATATCCATTGTCTCGGATAGGGATCCACGATTCACATCCCGATTTTGGCCAAAGTTTCAAGCATCTTTGGGGACTAAACTGAAGTTTAGCACAGCTTTTCACCCACAGACGGATGGACAGTCCGAGCGGGTGATACAGGTTTTGGAAGACATGCTTAGGGCATGTGCTTTGGAGTTCCAGGGGAGTTGGGACAAGCATTTGGCCCTAGTGGAGTTTGCCTATAACAACAGTTATCAAGCAAGTATCGGCATGCCCCCATATGAAGCATTGTATGGGAGGAAATGCAGAACACCATTGTGTTGGGACGAGGTTGGCGAGGCCAAACTCGAAGGGATAGAACTGGTTGAGATCACCAGGGCCAAGGTGAGGATCATTCGGGATAGACTGAAGGCCGCTCAGGACCGACAGAAGAGTTATGCTGATAAACGGCGGAGACCGTTGGAGTTCGAAGTCGGTGATGAGGTCTTCCTAAGGATTTCTCCTTGGAGGGGCATCATCCGATTCGTATCGAGGGGGAAGCTTAACCCCCGATACATAGGTCCGTTTGAGATCCTTGAAAGGATCGGGGCCGTGGCTTACCGACTCAAGTTGACGCCTGAACTTGAGAAGATACATGACGTGTTTCATGTATCAATGCTCAAGAAGTACATACGAGACCCATCTCATATTCTTGAGAGACCACCGGTAGAGATCCGTGAGGACTTGCAATATGCGGTGGGACCAGTGAAGATTGTTGGTCAACAAGTGAAGAAGCTTAGGAACAAGGAGATTCCTATGGTAAAGTTCCTTTGGAGGAGTGATCGAGTCGAAGAAGAAACTTGGGAGACCGAGGTCTCAATGAGGGAGCAATACCCATTTCTTTTCGATTAGATACTTGGATTTCGGGGACGAAATCCCAAATAAGGGGGGGTGAACTTGTAACACCGTCCCCAAATATATTTACTTTTATGTAAATAATGTATTGAACCTTATTAAAGGATTAATGAATTTACGAGGTTGTAAATTTTTATTATTTCTTTCGCGTGAATAGTAAATTGCATGTGGGACCCACACCGGGAGCAGGGGCCGCCCGACACTTCCGAGACCACATATTTTATTCATCTTGGTCAAGATAATATTTATATAGTGGTGGATATTTTATTTGGGTCGTGAAAAGGCCCAGAGTTGACCGATTGGGCAAAAGAGGCCCAAATACCGGTACCGACAATTTAACAGATAACAGCCCGAAAATGAATTTCGGAGACTTCTAAATTAATGTTTTGGAATACATATTATTTCAAAAGGCCATTACGATTGAGGACACGTAATATATTTTATTGGACCCGATAAAATAAAATATATTTAAAACAGTCCGAAAAAATACAACTTTCGGGACCGATTGTACACTTCGGGACAAAAAGGGTTGACCTCCCACATGAGTGGGGGCCAACCCACGATTTTGGACACTCAAATGGGGTGTTAGCCGGCTGGTGGAATAGGAAATAGGGGGAGGGGATTGTGATATGAAGGAAATGGCATCAAAGGTACCTAAAGTGGACCCCCATTCTACACTCATTGGATTAATGAGACAAAAGCTCATCCCCATCCCTCTCTCCCCTCATTGTCTCGGCCAAGCTACAGCAACCAAGGGCAAGGAATTCTTCTTCTTCCTTCCACCATTGTTGAAGAGAGCTCATCAAGGAAGAACCACCCAAAAAGAAGCTAAAGTGCTAAAAGTGTGAAATAATTAAGGTAATGACCTTATTATAACTTCCTCTCTATTTTTCTTCTACCATATGAGATATATATCATGTGAAGAATCCTTAAGAGGGTTCTACATGTTATAAGTATGGATTAATGGGTTGGAAAGTGATTCTATGTCCAAGAACGGACTTAGAAGCCAAAACGACCGGTTCACCGGAAAATAACCTTTTATAGGTTATTTGTATTGATTAAGGTTTTATGATGTTAAGACCTTGTTAGGCACTTGTAAAGGGTATTTCAAGTGATTTCAAAAAGTTGGAAAAGTCACCGGAATTGTCGCCGGAGTTGACCAAAAGTCGCCGGAGTTTCACCGGAGTTCAACCAAGAAGGGTAGAACTTCATACGCTAGTTCAAGGTGAGTGGACGGCTTAATATCTTATAACTTTTGGGTTAATTATAAGATTACCTAAATAAATGTTATAAGTGTTCATAATGATGTTTAAAAGATATTTAAACATGTGATTAGCCAACATAGATAAGTTTGTATGAAAAGAATTAATTGTTTATACATGAAACATGATATGAGAAATAATATGAAATGCATATTTGTTGGGAATGTCAAAGAAGCACAAATGATTATTATTAACTTAATTATATGATGATTAAGTTGATATGTACAAGGCTTGAATGGCGGTCAACGACAACGTTGACCGATGGATAATGGATTAATTAATGTCGGTTGATATTAGTTAATTGTACATTCATATAATTGCATGGATTTGCATGAATTGTGATACATAAATTTTATGTATTGGATTAGTTATGAGTAACTAAGGATGATATAGACTCTATCTAGGTTGATAGGAGGTTGATCATAGGAGAACTTGGTGGAGGACCCTAGTACTTAAGAAGTACTTAACACTCAAAACTTGGTGGAGGACCCTAGTACTTAAAAAGTACTTAACACTCAAACTTGGTGGAGGACCCTAGGACTTAAAGTCCTTAACACTCAAACTTGGTGGAGGACCCTAGTACTTAAAAGTACTTAACACTCAAAATTTGGTGGAGGACCCTAGTACTTAAAAAGTACTTAACACTCAAACTTGGTGGAGGACCCTAGGACTTAAAGTCCTTAACACTCAAACTTGGTGGAGGACCCTAGTACTTAAAAGTACTTAACACTCAAAACTTGGTGGAGGACCCTAGTACTTAAAAGTACTTAACACTCAAAACTTGGTGGAGGACCCTAGGACTTATGAGTCCTTAACACTCACAAACCGGTGGAGTATCCAAGGATTATGATCCTAAAACTCATAGATTGTGATATACAAGTAGGGACAAGGAGGAGTCCTATACACTCATAGGTATATGGGTGGGTTGGGGTTTTTAGTCAAGAATATTGACTATTACTATTTTTCCCAAATAAAATGGTGATCTACGGATCGTATATCTTCCAAGTATATATATATATATATATATATATATATATATATATATATATATATGTGCTAATAAGTATTTCGTAACTTGGGGAAAAGACTATTTATTTAAGTATCACCCTATGTTTGGGTCTTATACTTGAAACGCTAGTTATTCTATTTTAGCCTGCTACTCGCTCGGTACTTGTACTGACCCCTTCGGGGGGGGCCCACCATTTTCAGGTTGAAGCTAGGGCTGCTACCTGCACCTTTCTACGGGTGACATCAAGTCAAGGAAGACGTGGTTCGTGCTTCCTCATTTCCTTTCAAATTACTAAACATTGCTCATGGATATTTTTATTTGTTATAAACTACTTTTGGGGCTTGCATGCCCATGTTGTTGGTCGGTTGTGGCTTATGACTTACCGTTGAATATTTCCGCTATTCATTGGTTTAAATGTGATGTTGTTACGTATGTTTACTACTGAGTATGGATGGTTTATATTCTCGAACGCCTTGTGTAATTAAGTGAGGTTGACTCGCGGGTGACGTCACTTGATTATACGGCGGTTGTACACGCGCTTGGATTGCGGTCTGGGGCGTGACAATAATTATTTCTCAACTACCCCCATCTTCAAATTATGGATCCAGACTTATTAAAGAATCAAGGGAAATTATTATTAACCCCATTTGTGAACTATAAAAAATGTACTCTTACCGCTCTGTCCTTTAATAATGGTGATGTACCTTTTAATTTACATTTAGAAAAAAAATAGAGATTTTTTCCGTATTAATGTTAATTAATTAATTAATTACGAAAATAGGGTTGGGTTAAAAGTATTTACCAGAATATTGCTGGTTTAACCATGGTCGGGGAAAGTCGCCCAACGGTTGGGCGACTTATAAGTCGCCAAACGGTTTGGCGACTTATAAGTCGCCCAACCGTTGGGCGACTTTTCCTTAAGTAAAAATCGGGTCACGCCCCAAAACAGAACCCTGCGTAAACATCACTCCCCAAATCCCCCAAGGCACACCGACGACAAACGAAGGAAGAAGACGACCGAGCTCCTATCCAACTCCGGCGAAGCTCCATCTCCGGCCTCCCCACTCCGGCAAACCTTCATCTTCTTTTGCAACACTCCTTCTTTCTTCTAGGTAAATAAAACTCCATTTCATCTCATTTTGAACTTAGGGTTTTGAATGTTAAAAATTTCGAATTTTTGGATTATGAATTGATTGTGAATTAAGTTGTTGTGAAATGTGGATATGTATGAAATGTTGAAATTTGATTTTAAATTGATTGTAAATTTTAATGTGTATTTTGACATTTGGGCATTTGGGTAGACTTGAATGTAGCTAAATTTGGGTATTGAAAGGTAGACGTGAATGTAGATATCAAAATTTTGGTAGTTTCATATTGAAATGTGAATTGTTTGTGAATTTTGACTTTTAGATATATTACAATTTTGGTAGTTTTTCTATTGAAAATTTGAATGTGTTTAAAGTGTGTATATTGATGCCTACTCATGAATGTTGGACAATGAATTGTTATTAGAATATGGATTTCTCAAGCTTCCCAATCATATGTCATTGGGGAGGAAACTATTATGAGGATGCTGGGCAAATATGCCTTGAAGGTGGTAGAACCAGCTTTGTCATTGTTTCTCGTGGCGCTTGCATGCTGGAGATCCTTCAAAAAATACATGCAGCCACAATGATTCATCCTAGCCGTTCTTTGCGGTTGAAAATGAAATTTCCCATGAACGGGGGAAAGTACATGCTTATGCCCCTCATTGATGAGCCTATAACAAATATGTGGGGCATAACTCAAATGGAGGATATGTCGACGCTTGAGATATACATTGAGGAATCCTGTGACGCCTATGGTACTCAATCAACATCAAATGATGTCGTATCTACGCATGATGTCAATGCAGGGGTGAATGCAGGGAACTCCTCAAAGGCTCCTGTACTGGACATGGTTATACAGGAAGATGGTAGGTATTTGCACAACGGTGCATCATTTGTGGATGGGCAGGGAAGTGATGATGATGCTGACGAGAACATCAATGGTGATGACATGACAGATCTGATGAAGATGATGGTGATACTGTCACGAAAACTGCCCCGTCTAGCCATTTTACTAGAATGTGCCTCTAGATAGAGCGCTTCTCACTGCTCTACTTGAGCGTTAGAGGCAGGAGACACACTCATTTCACCTCCCTGTTGGTGAGGTGACAGTGACATTGGGAGATATTGTTGTACTTACCAGGTTAGAGGTTCATGGGAGAGCTGTTACAGGCACTGCTTGTCGACAGTGGGTGGATGAGTGTGAGCGGTTGTTAGGCATCCATCCCGTTCTTAGGACTGACCTTCAGGGGTCACTCTGAGGATGCCATGGTTGAGGGAGCACTTCCAGGTGCTTCCTCCCGACGCTGATGAGGTGATGATCCAGCAGCATGCTCGGGCTTATATATTGATGATGATGGGAGCCTCCATTTTCGCTGACAAGAGCGGAAATGAGGTTCAGGTGCTGCACTTGCCTTTGCTAGAGAGGTTTGATGTAGCAGCACAGTTCAGCTGGGGTAGTGCCACCTTGGCTTATCTATACAGACAGCTTTGTCGCGGCTACCAGAGAGGGAGCACAGAGCTTGGGGGATTTTTGCTACTCCTCCAGATTTGGTCATGGGAGTATATCCACATTGGGCGTCCCATTATAGTCGGATATCATGGCATTGATGGACAACCACTGCCTGATGAGCCTCCACATCTTCTAGGACCACATCATGTACGGGGCGAGGACCCTCTAGGCCGTCGGTATGTTTGCAATCGTTTGTATTTATGTGAGTGTATGTTGTGTGTAAATACATTAATAATATCCATATTAATGATACTGTTACATGAATGGTTAGATGGCTATATGCTGGTCTATCTCGCATGTCATCCGTTACTGGGCTCGGTGTGTACAAGGATGCATTTGATCGGATGTCTGAGGAGCAGGTATGGTGTGGGTAGTATAACATTAACTATAATATGTATAGAAAAACTCCTAATTTTGTATCTTTATGAAACAGATTACATGGATGCCGTTTACACCTGAGATGTTAGCAGAGTTGCCCCCAACTGGACGAGAGCATACTCACATATGTGTCGTTGATATGTTTTGACATTGTTGAGCTTCATTTGCCTGATAGAGTCTTGCGACAGTTTGGGTTTGAGCAGGTCGTTCCACGGCCTATCGACACTTATGTTGAGCTGCATAGGCTGGATAGGCGTGGGAAGCATACAGAGGATTGGGCACTCAGACATGTCCGATATGTGACTATGTGGGAAAGGAGAGCTGAGCTAGTTGTGGCTGGGACACCGACATATGTGCCATCTGTTTCAGGAGACTACATGGGATGGTATTAAAGCATCACTCGTTTGTTTGTGTCTCCTTCGTTCAGACTCCCTACTCATCATTATCAGCCTAGCTCCTTGGCTTTGCATCTTACGGTGAGTATATTAGTAATTAGTAAAGTAAGTCATTTTATTTATGTAATATTTGTATGTATTTCAATGTAAATGTAATTGTGTTTCATATTTCAGACACGAGCTTTGCAGCGCATACATCGGCGGGCTACTGCCACAGTGACTGATAGTCATGATGTGGACATGTATGGATAGGCTCTGACAGGCATTGCATCCTTGTGTTCAGATGTGTTGGGGCGAATCGACTACGGCCATCTTAAACACATGCCCCCATCTCAGGAGATGTCATCCACGTCTAGTGCAGCGGCGGCTTCATCGTCACAGACGCAGCATGAGAGAGTGGTTCTTCAACCATGACAACGGCGTAGGCGTCAGCCTAGGCGTAGACATGAGCAGCAACATCTCCATGACGAAGCTGACGATGGGAACTTGTAGTTTGTCTTTTGTATTGTAGTTTTTTCTTATGCAGTAGATGTTGTAGGAACAATAATTTACAACATTTGACGTATTTTGTCTTGTAAAGTCTTGTATGTTGTCTTGATGTGTTCGAGTATGAATATTAGATGATTACTTGTTATGAATATTGGATGATTTTATTGTGTTATACCGGTTATGAATGGAAGGTTTTGTATTTGATTTGTAAAGGGTATTTTCAAGGTGTTTTTTATGTTGATGAGAGTAGGTGTTATGTATGTGATTGTGAAGACGTGTGTTGTATGTTTTATAATGTGTTGTATTTGGCTCGTAACACTTAAACAGGAGAAGAGAGACCTTATTTATAGCAAACAGATGATTAATTCATAACTATTGATGCAGCAACAATTGTATTCTTTTTTTTAAACTTGATGTATATATTGATTTATATATTCTTTTTTAAACTTGGTCGGTTTAAGACACTTTATTTATGTTTTAAATTTTCAAATTGTCAACAAAATTAAACATTAGGCTTAATTAATTGACCTATTTTTTCAACAAAAAGAAGCCTACTCGCACTATATATAGAGAGAGAAAATGGACCTATATTTTCTTCTATTTTTTCGGGCCTAGGGCGGTCGCCCCTCTTGCCCACCCACACCCCCCCCCCCCCAACTTGAAATATTTATGTATTTACTCCTCCATTTGCACGTTACGTATATTATTCATAATAACCGAGTCGCGAATAGAGATGACAACGGGGTGGGTTTGGGGCTAGCTCCCTATCCTCATCCTATGTCTAAAATATTCCTCCATTATAACCCCATCTATCACTACTGCAAACCCGCCCGCCCTGTTCTCGCCCCATCCTGTTGTCCCCCATGGCCCACGGGTGCCCGCATATATTTACCCCATTTTATAGATATATATATATATATATATATATATATATATATATATATATATATATATACATATACATATATATATAGCACTAAAAGAGGTAACTAGATAATATTGTGTTTGAAAAAGTTAATTCCATCAATTTTTAATAATTCAATAGTAAAAGTAAAAATATAAACAAACACATCATCATCATGTATGTCATTACAAATTTCTCATCAATTATAATACAATTTTTTTTACAAGAATTATAATACAATTATTAATGTATATTATGCATACATATTACATATGGATATGTTTGTTCTATTTACTCACTTTGAAGCATAACAATAATTACTGTTATTTATTGAAATAAAAACATAATGATTTTATTTTGGAATTCCATAACGTCTTCAGTTTAATACTTGATAATTAAGCTTTAATTTTATTATGTGATCAAGGTTTTATGTTCAAATTAAAGTGATCAATGTTTTATTTTGCGTTAGCGGTTAGCAGATAGCGAATTATGTTAGCGGATTGTCAATAGCGGAATTAGTTGGTGAGCTGTCAGAATATGTTTGATAATTTAATTGTTTGACCATAAAATTAGTTGAAAACGTCATATTTCAAAACACTAACACAAAACTCTCATATTTATAGCTCTTTCATCTCAATGGTTCCGTTCAAAAACACTAGTTGCAAAAAAATATTTACCAAACCACATATTCATTTATGAAAATAGCTAAAAAGGGTCAAATAATAATTTGTTTGCTGAAACGTCATTTTCTAAACGGGCGAAAGTAAGATGATGATATGGAACAAAATATGACGCGATAAATAAGTAGGTGACAACTCTGGTACCTCATTTAAAAATGGGGTATCGCACCTAACACAAATTTGAATTGTCCAAATCATTATATCCTTTTTAATTTAGATTTAAATAAGGTAGTTTTTATGGTACCCATAAGGTACCGTACCTTTGTCCACATGGATCAATGAAAAGGTAGCAGTTGAATTATTTAAATCTAAATTAAAATTGATAAAGTGATGTGATCCAATTAAATCAATGCTAGGTACGATACCTCTGTTTTTAGAAAGGTATAATCTACCAAATATTGCAAAGTGACTTACACAGAGGCAGAGAGATGTTGCCACTTAGCAGTGAGCGGAATGTTAACCGGCGGGAGGGTGGGAACGATTTTGATGCTGACAGCCGTGGTCTGCACGTCCAATCCCACAGCTACGGCAGCCACCCCCGTCAGAGCAAACGCCACAAACCTTATAACAGTGTCTGTCCGTCTCACATTAATGCTCTGCACCTTCTCCCCGAAACCTTCAACCCCCATTTCGATTCTCGATCAACTTCTTTTCCTTCTCCATATATTTACTACTCCGTATATAAAGTTCCAAACAACTAACTAATTTTACCGAAGCTATTAATACTCTCATCAATGAATTGTCCCATTTTCCACGGATGAATGAATGAGAGGAGAAGAGGGGCCGGCTGGTAAGGTACTAGACAGAGATCCTTCGGGAAAAATGGTTCATTTCATACGACTCGGCACCTTCATTGAGTGCAGTTTCTAGCTATAAAATTGAATGCAATATTGCAATTTACTTTCTATTTTTTTTTCACATGTCGCCCACTTGGCCGAAATGGTTCTACTTCCTACTGCATTCATGCCTCGCAAAATGATTTTTAAATACAATTTCACTCCACTAATTATTATTTTTTATCGTCAAAGGATGACCGTGATATTAAAATCGAAAATACATACAAGACAATCTTCAGACAGAATTTACAGATCTACTCTTGCATCCTAGGTGTAGAGTTAGAGTCATTCACCTCCTACAAAGTAACATGACTCGCTAAAACTTACACATAAAATTACCGGAACTGAAACCCTGCATATCAAAAGAACTCCAAAAATCCAAACATTCAAACCAAATCTATTCGGACTAAAATAGAAACAATTGTTATTAAAGACAAAATAATACTGAAATAAAATCTTTTCACAAAGCACTTTCTGGTATGGTTGTGGTTTCGGGGGAGGACGAGCTCTTGCAATATAGGTCAATCGTCCATATATACATGTATTTAATTTAAAAGGGAGACACTATGAAAAGTAGGTCCCTATACTTTTAGAGGGAACTCCAGTCGGCTGAGAAATGACTTGAAACGCTGCCAAGATATCAGTATCTTTGATTTCCTACTGAGGAGTATAATAAGTCAATTTATAATCTTTAGAAAAATTATAAAGATTTCTCATTTTAGGATAAATCGTCACTAGAATTTAGCTTGCTCCGTGAGGATTCTAGTCAGAACCCTTCTTAAATGATAATTCTTTATAATGATAATTTTTAATGACAACCTTTCATTATTTTCACATTGGTGGGATGCACATGATGTCCATTGTGTAATTATTAATTTTTTAAATGGGGCATTTGTTTAATTATTGTAAAATAATTACAAAAATGACTCATTGATAATTTAACCCTTGATTTCATACATCAAGGGTTGAGAGTAATAAATGTGTTTTCATTTTAAAAGGGGTTCTCATTAGAACTCCCCTCGTATTAATAACACTCAATGAATAAAAATATCCTAGTTGAGATGCATACGTACCCTCATTAGGATGTTTTTAATTTAATTGTACTGTAAATCTCATGTTAGCTCAAATTTGTTTGGTAGAAATCTGTTTTATGTGTACTTTTCAAGTGACGAAGTTTGATCATGTCTATCTAATTTGATATGATCTAGTTTGGCCGATGCGGTGTAGTCTAGGACTGAAACCAGTTCAATTAAAAATTGTCTAAATTATGGAGTTTAAATTTGAGGAAATAACTTCAAATAATATAGTCTATCATCATGAATGAATAATAATACATACTTTGAAAATGATTTCTAATCATACCAACTATTTGAATGTATAATAAAAATAATATGGGCTCACTTTTAGGCAAGAAATCCAGTCATTTAAGACATCAAAAATAAATAGTAAACCATCAAATAAATGATATTTAGAAATAAAGTCACTTATTTGATATTTCGATGTTAGTTTTTAATAAGTTAAATGACTGATTCTCTAGTGAAAAATTGCTCTATATCACTTTTGATGTATATTCTAATTGTTGGTATTATTAAAATTTATTTCCAAAGTACGTACTACGTATGAAGTATTATTCTTGATTCATAAAAGGTAGTTTATATTATTTAAAGTTATTACCTCTTTAATTCCTTAATATTATTATTTAAACAACTACAAAAAGTAATTATTCATAATATAATGGATTTGATGAATATATTCATTATATAATGGTGTCAACTGTCAAACTATCAACTATCAAGTGCACGTAGTAGAGGGAGAAAGTTACGAAATGATTAGAATGGTAGCTAGACTTCGAGCTGTTTTGTTTGCAAACACTAAAAAAAACATTTCTCAGTTTTTGACTTAAAAACTAAAAAAGTGTTCTCAAGTGACAATTTCTACTTAAATTAATACTTAAAAGCTAAAATCTAGAATATGATTTTTATTTTTTCTATTACACAAAAAACACTTATTTACCAAACAATACCAACTTTTACTTTTTAAAATCGTTTTTTTCTCAAACACGACCAACCTTTACTATTAAGCACTTTTTCTCAAATCACTTTAAATGTTTCAAAAGCACTTGTCAGTGGTGTTTGCAAACAAAGCCTTACTAGAATTATAATGCGACGTCTAATTCATACTACGTACTCCCTCCGTCCCATTTATATTGTCTCAGTTCCTATTTACTTGATCAACACAAATCACTCTTAAGTTCTTACTTTATATATCAAGAATTTATCAAATTTGATTCAGGTTTTTGCGACTTTGTAAAGCTTTAAATGTAGTTTCTGAATATATAATTTTTTTCCTAAAAATAATTCAGGTGCGGATAGGGATCTGTTTGCTTTATCGTCAGTCAAACATGGTAAACTGTAAAGAGACAATATAAATGGGACGGAGGTAGTATTAAAAATGTCGTTAAAGCATACTCCGTTTTAAAGAGGGGGAGAATTGAAATATTAAAACCCCAATCTTAATAAAAATATATTAATAAAAAAAATTCAACTATCAATTTAGTCCTTATACTATCACGAAAAAATCAATTAGGTCATCATACTTTAAAAAAATCAATCAATCGAACTTTGCAAATATGTTCAATTGAGTCAATTAGTAGGTCACCTGCCAGGCTGCCAGGCCAGCAAGTAACGCGCTGACATGGCGGTCCATGTGTGCGCCACATCGATCATTGGTAAATGACTTATGTGTGCGCCACGTAAGCGAAGTCACCGCTGACTGGGTTGCCACATGAGTGTCACGCCAACGGGTGACTTCTTGACGCGGCGGGTAACATGCTAATGGATTCAATTGAGTGTTTTCACAAAAATTGGAGATTTGATTGATTTTTTAATTAGAAATAAGAGGACTTAATTGACTTTTTTGTGATGGTACGAGAATCAAATTGATAGTTTTCCATTAAGAAAATTATGCGGTAAGCTTCGAGGATAGATTGAAGTGCATTCTTAAATACAGTATCACAATACTAAATTTGTATTCGCTCTAGCTACCCAAATTGATTTGCAAAAATTACTATTTTAATTGTAACAAAATGATTTTCACTTTTTAGTTTAGGTACGGAAAGATGAATAAAGTGATAAGCATATCCTTACTTTTACCTGGGAGAAAGGGAAAAATAGTAGGTCCAAATTAAATTAAATTAAAAATATTAACTTCCTTAATTCTTGTTTTAGTCAGCTTTTGCAAATCTAATTGGGACAAGATGGGTACAAATTTAGCATCGCAGTCACTATCTTACAAGGTATAATTTTAAATAATCATGAAGCTACTAAATATAAAAGATCATATTTTCATCCACTGTCTTCTAGGGGTGGTTCGGTACGGTATACCGAAGATTTTATCCCATACCTTTACCATACTGTAAACTTTCGGTATGCAAAAATACATACCGTTACCATACCTAAATTTCGGTATACCTTGTTTCGGTATACCGAAATTTCGGTACGGTAAGCTACGGTATCAGTAAATTATCATGATTTAATATCAAATTATTATATATCAAATGAAATATAGAAAATCAGTGTTAATAGTGATATACCAAAATTATTAATGAAATTAAATATAAAATGCCAATGATAACCTATTTGTGTTCTATTCAACTTTGAACAAAAAAATATTATAAATATGTACAGATATTTCAACACATGATATATGAAGATAACAACACATTCTGCTAAAATAATAATTTAAACAACCTAAATATATTTGAAATAACATCGATTTCCAACAAAAAGTATAAATAATTCAAGAAACATGGATATAAAGTCATTATCCTTGAATTAATGTTGTGTTTCTAGTTATTTTTATAATTCTAAAGAAATTATTGGCTTGGAATTACGGTATGACGGTATAACGGTATACCGTTTATTTCCGAAATATATACCGATACCATACCGAAGTAATTTGGTACGGTATCATACCGTACCAAAAGTGTCGGTATACCAAACACTTCGGTAAATTCGGTATTTTTCGATATGGTAAGTCCGGTATACCGAAATTTCGGTATTTTTCCCCACCCCTACTGTCTTCACTAGTTTTGTTAATTAACCTCGTATACTTTCCCGCATGCACAACAACAAAACATTTTTTCGGATACATCAGTTGTGATTTACGTAAACTAATATATAGAGGTTCCCAACTTGGAACATGTAGATGCATATTTATATGCGACAAAAATAGAAAAACTTTAGATAAGCTTGATTCCGTGTCCACAATAATGCCCCAACCAATAATATTGTAGCATTAATTTAGTGATTAGATTAAATAATTAAACTAGTGGCCGGATGATAGGTGCAACCTAACGGATTATTTATATATCACTCGAAAGCAAATATGCAATGAATCCTTGCTTATAACTAACAATAAAAACTTAACGGTCAATTAATTAATGTCTATGAAACCAGAAAAGACGGGTTCTCCGGCGAGTGTAGATAAGGCGGAGGACTATTATCCGGTGGTGGTGGCGCTCTTGAGGCTGCTGCTGTTTGTCTCGTTGGCGGTGGCGGTAATGGTTATGGTGAGTAGCAAGCAAACTTACGTTGTTGTGCCCTTCGAGGCAACCCTTGCGGCAAAGTTCAGCTACTCCCCAGCTTTCATGTATGTAAGCTTTTTGTATCTAGATAATTCATTTGTATCCGCACAAATTAATTCTCATTTGGTAAGATAACTTTAAATAAATACTCTCTCGCACAAAGATGTTCTCACATGATTTATTATGTTTGACCGATAATAAAACAAATTGACCGTTGTTCATATTTACATTTTCATAAAGTCACAAAAAACTCAAATTTAATAAAAATTGGATATATGAAACAAAATATTAAGAATGATAATATGTATACACATTTCGAAAATAGATTTTAATAATATCAACTATTAAAATATATATAACAAAAGTGATGCAGAGCAATTTTTCACTAAAAAAACAACCATTTAACTCACCAAAAATTTATATCAAAATATCAAATAAAAGACCATATTTACAAATCATTTATTTAGTGGTTTGATATCAATTTTTTATATCTTCAATGAATTTATTTCTTGTTGAAAAGTGACTCTATATATACTATTTTTTTTATGATTCCATATTATTTTTGTTATATGTATTATTAGAAATGATTTCCAAAGCACTCCTATGTATTATGGTTGGTTCATATATGGGTGATAGGTGGTGTTATACAAAGTTATTTTTTCTTATATATTAAAGGGTCAGTTACACTTCTCGCCTTAAAAGATTAGAATTTTTTTATTTTGAAAAATAATGACAAATTAATGATTAAAGTGAAGATTTTGTGCCCATAGAAACTAAAATAACTTTATATGACCGATACGTGATTGTGATAATGACGTTGGATAAAATTTATTATTTGATAATTTAGTGACCAGACTAGTAGTTTCAATGACTACTGTTACACTTAATTTTACACTGAACTGATCATAACGATATGCTTATAGTAATTTTTTTGGCCAAATAATGCTTATAGTAATTTATAATCACATTTGTATTCATATATACTATCGTATATTTTACTTTGGGTTTATATTTAAAGAAATTTCCAATAATTTTTCCCTAATCAAAAAAATAGTTATATTAGTAAAAAAATTTAAATGACTTTTATAGATTATTAGTTCTCCATTAGCCTAAGTTTAATTAATGTGAGAGTGAGAATGTTTTTAACGGGACTGCAATTTTCTTGTAGGGTCTAATCTAATACTAAGAATTGAATGAACTTCACAAAAAGATTGACAAGTTTAATACACATTATAATGAACTTTACAAAAGGAAATTTTACAATTGCTACGTAAATAATATTGAATGTACCCTTGACTCACTGAATAAATATGTTTAATCAATTAACATCATCCATCTGCAACAAGCCCTTCAGCATTGGTCACTGCAATAGATTGTACTTTAATGAAACAAATACAATAATTATTTCGATATATTAGCCGACCCGGAATTCTTTTGGGATTAAGGCTTGGATGTTGTTGTTGTTAACATCATCCATCTGCAACAAGCCCTTCAGCATTGGTCACTGCAATAGATTGTGCTTTAATGAAACAAATAAAATAAATATTCCGATATATTAGAAAAAGGAAAATATATAGCTATATATTATTGACAATTGAATGGATTGATAATGCAGATACTTTGTAGCAGCTCTATCTGTGGCTGGCTTCTACAGCATCATCTCCACTGTACTTTCATTCTATAACCTTATTGTTAAGCCTGCTTCCTGCCCAATGCTAATGTCCCATTTTGTTATCCTGGATGTGGTAAGCTAAGCTCTAAAGATCTTCTCTCTTTTTCAATAACAATAATGATGAAAACACATATCAATTGATCAATGAACTACTTTCAAAGCTGATGCTGGGGATAGTGGCTTCAGCAACAGGAACGGCAGGGGGAGTGGCCTACTTGGGTTTAAACGGAAACTCTCATGTTGGATGGATGAAAGTCTGCAACATTTTCGACGTCTACTGCACACACATTGGGACATCTGTGGCCGTCTCCTTGTTCGCTTCTGTCATACTGGTCATCCTCATCAACCTGTCCATCCACTCCCTCTCCAAGAAAATCCCCAAGTAGCTAAATATCATTTCATTCCATCTGTCAAATGTGTTATAAACCCAACCTGGAGTGCAATTTTGTTCACCCCTTCCTTGGAGGGTGAACATAACCCCCTCCTTATTTGCTTGCCATGTGGCAAAAAAAGAAATGAAATGCCAAATGGCAACATTTGAGCTATGAGGGTGATGTTCACCCTCCAAGGAGGGGTGAACAAAATTGCACTCCCCAACCTGTGTTTGAATCACTTTCATGTGGAAGCATTTATTCTACAATTGCATTGTACCACAATATTGTATAGATCAATTGAGTCATGTGTTTGTACAGAAGGCCTGTCATCAATTTGTACATTCAAGTGTTTTCAAGTTTCAGATGGTTACTAGAAGATTCAAGTGAGTGATCATCAATTGAGTCAACATTAAAAAACAAGTTTTTAGTCAGGCTTGACTGCATGGTAAAGATACCAAATTACCAATATAACAAAAAGTCATGTAAGGATGTTTTGAGAAATTGTATTACATTACATTAAATTGTTCATGTTTTATTATGTAATTTACCGTGTTGAATTTACACTCTTTTTTATTTCGAAAACACATTCAAAGAATGAAATAATATACCATGCATCACATGGGTGCTATACATAGTAATATATTATAAGAGCATTTTAAGCTCAGACAAATGATCGCAATAAGCTTCACAGACGAAATGCTAAATGTATGAGCACTTTAAAAGTGCATGTTAAGCCACTCAACATCAACAACAGACAGCAGCCTCAATTCTTAATGTCATACACAATAGACATTAAATCGCCCATGTAGGTGTACAGAAAGAAAAATAATGGTGTATTGGTGTTTTCTCTGCACCAGTTTGAAATTTTATACAAGAAATGGAGAAGTCATAAAGATTGGTGAAATGGTGTTGAGAAGTTTCAATTTCCAAAATAAAAGGGTGAAACTGGAAGAAGATTAGAAAATGGTTTGCTCCCTTAATTCTCGACCCGCCATTCAATCCCTGATCACCTTCTCAAAGAAATCTTCCAAAGTGATGCCATTTCCATAACTTGGAGTCCCCTTTCTCAGGATCCCAAACCAATATACTCTCGGCCGCGTAGAACCTTCCAATCTTTCCAAACTCAGATGCATCTTCCAGCGAACAAGTCAAGAAGCCAGATTGCAAAGTCCATGATTTGGATTGGTACCTTTACAAATTTGTGTTTCTTCCTTGATAACCTGAACAACATTTCCCCTTGCTCCAATGGTGTCAATGCCTTCCCAGGACCACCAACAGGTAAAACCCGGTTGATTTTGTCATCACTCAGTGCACAGTCTGCTATGAATGACGCCAAATCCTAATATTACATAGGTCGGAGTGATTTTTGGGGTGAAAAGTTTAAATAAGGCTTACTCATACAAAGTAATATTGGTATTTAAACAATTAAACATACACTACTAAGAAAATATTGGTACAAACTTGCAACCTTTGTACTAACTGTAGTTCTACCAACTATTATTTTATATTTAGTTTATCTTTGTTAAAACCAGCTATAACATTGGACAATATTTCACCATGAAACTGCTACATATTGAAACAAATGACACAACATAAATGTATATAGCCGCACTTTAAGATAGTGGGTAATGTTGAGTGTACCATCAATTAGGCGACTCTAATTAATTCTCTAATTGGTATGTTGAACCCGCTAATTTAGATCAGATATTTGAAGCTTGATTAGGTGAGTTATTCTATGCCTCATGGATCCACCATCGGTTATGTTATCCTTCATAAAGCCAAGCCCGGCATTAATTGATTGGGTTTCTTAGTATTATTTATTGTCTTGTAAGTTGTAATTATGATATTACTAAGCCTTGTAAGTTGTAGCTAATCGGCTATGGCGAGATTAATTCTCGTGCTCTTCTATTAGTAACGATTTCATGGCAACCTTCAATAAGCTTTGCCAATCTATTCATCAGAATCTTTCTTAATCCTCACATTGCAATCTAGTACTGTAACACACTTTACCATTGTTTTCAACCTTACTTGGTAAGTTGGTAATGGCCTTTTAAACTTGGTATTGTCATCAACTCATCAATGGTGAACAAATAATGCAACCACTTCAAGTCGTACAAATAACACATGATTACTAAAGTAAAAGACTCTTAATAGTTGTAAGTGCATATGTTGATCAATGTCAAAATATTGTAGAGTAGAGACCATAAAGGGAAAGACATGAACCATGGAGAAAATTCACATTCAATTCTCTACACAGGGAATCATCTCCAATCACGAAGCCCCTCGTAAAAGCAATGGCTACTCTGAAATTCCAAGGAATTCAGCAAAGCTACGATATTTAGGCTCCCATCCTAATTCAGCACGTGTTTTTGAGTTGTTTAACTTCTTGCCTAGTGGATCACTTGTTCCTGCAGATTAAAAAACATAGGCCAATGCTAATCTGCTAGAATCAAACCATGTGTTTTTGTTGCTTCAAAGGACACTAATGTAATTTTAGGTGTGGATAAAATATCAATGTCTTTCATTTAATAGCCCCCCCCCCCCCCCCCCACCCCACACACACACACACCACTGAAGATTAGATTTGTGTCCACTCTATATCTACCACAGAAAGGAAACAAATGCTCACCTGTGAAACCCTTAAACTTCTGGCTATACTTCCCACTTTTATTAACCAGGTCCATCACTTGTTGCCTGAAAAGATGGACATCAATGTTCAGATGTCCGGTACAGCACAAACTAGGTGTTGAGAGACTTGAGAGTATAGAGTGCAATTGTGAATGCAACCCTGCTATAAAAGTTTTTGAGCCACCTCAATACAAAAGAGTAACAACTCAGAAGGATTAACCTGGACACTGGGTGATTGTCACAACCCAAAAAGATCCGACCACGGAATTTCTTTTTCAAGATGAGAACAGCGAGAGAAGCTGCATCCTGTCAGAAAAAAGGACAAATAAAAAACATTATATCAAACATGGCAGGGCTAACTCAGATACGAGGATAATACTATGGATTTTTACACTTTTGAATTGGAGGGAGAAGGAAATGAATTATATGGAAGAGAATGTACCGGATCAAACTCTGTTTGGTTGCAAATAAGTTTATAAAAGGAACAATTTATAAACTACTATAAGTTTCTCTTGTTTGGACTACAAGGAAACGGAGGGAAAGTATTAAAATTTGCATCAATAGTTACTACTGTATCATTGTAATTTTAATTAAGACAAAAAGGTTTTGTCTTTGAGGGCAATGTTAGAGCTGGGGAAGCATCCCCACAACCATTTGTTTACTCCCTAGCCAAACAACATAAATGTGATTGTGCCTTTCATTACCACTCCTTTTTCTACAATTCCATTCATCCAAACACACTGTAATAGGAAATAGAGAGCAGGAGTCTCAAATTTTTTTTGGGTGAGCATACAAGTTAATTTTAGAAGGGGAGCCTCAGCGCACTGGTTAAGGTGTTGTTGTGTTACCGAGAGGTCACAAGTTCAAGTCTTGGGAGAAGCCTCTTGTCAAAATTTTACAGGGGAAAACTTGCTCCTTATACACCCTTGTAGTGGGACACTTTCTCAAACTTTCGCCTTGCAGGGATGCCACCGTGCACCAGGCTGCCCTTTTTTATGCAAGTTAATTCAGGAAGACTCACCTCATAGTGTATAAGATTGACAATGTGATCTCCACCAAAATCTGAAGTTCCTTTACTTAACCAGTAGGTATGAGCACCTCTATCGGCTTTGTATAAACAGTAGTTAAGGTAAATGTGAATAAGCAAAATCTTTAGAAAAACATGTAAGGTATTTAAACATGCCAAGGCACTAAGAGTCCATAACTAAGGATATGTAAAGTCCAGCCAGTCTTAGAACACAGCCACCATATTCCAGTGCAGCTTTTTCTGCCTTTAGAAGAACATCAGTCCTAGGGCTCGTCCCTATCGGCACAACTGGGGTATCCTGAAGATATGCATTGAAGTAAATGAAAATTAAAAAAATATTAACAACACGATATGCATTTAAAGACTGGAAAATCATGTGTTTTATTATTTCCTTACAGTCCAGATGCCTGTCTGTAAAGTGCAGTTTTAAAGAATAATAAACAGTTTATTGCACAGCTAGGTGTTATGTTAGACATAAAACCTCATCACATGGCCCATTGTCATGGCAATCATATGGTGCGGAACTTGAGGTGAACATGAAAGAACCTTCAGCATTCCATTTCAATGCAGCCTCCCTGTAAGTTTACATTATACAGAATGAGAAATCAATCCCAGGTGACTATACTTTCAGAAGCAAGACATACTCTGGTAATCACAAATGGTGCACATGAATTTCCATATACATACACAAGCTATAATTAAGTGCAGCCAAGAACTGTATTTATATGAAAAGCACAGCTCCGGTTCCTACCTGACATCAGCAGGATAATCTTCAGTGCGGGACGGAGGAGCACAGAAAATAACATAAGGGAACTTGATAGAAAGCTTGGGTTCTTTCAAAGTTGGTTTAATACCCATTTGTATCAGTTCATCATGATGATCAGCGGTCATTGTTTGTCCAAAAATTTGACAACCTGGGTGTTCCTGCAACATGTCAGAAGTTGAGCAAATTCTATATATGTGTATATATATCTTCCAAACCAAATATATGACAACTAATCTCGTATAAGACATTTATAGGTTTCACTTTTGCTTCTCATAAACCAAAAAACATGCAAGATACTAAAAACATTTACCCATCTGCCTATCAAAGAGAGGCATCACCGCATCAGAGCAAAATTGTGTTACGAATCAATTTAAGAAACATGGAGCAGTAATACCATCATCTAAAGTGCACCCATGCCACTTAACTAAATGTATAAAACTGATTTTAGTTGTTGTCATACTCATTTGGCACAAAACAATTTTCGTTATGATTTTGATCTTTAGCTTCTACACTTTCATAACTATATCACTCCTTATACCTCACTACCATCATCATATCACTGTAGGTAGAAACAACACTTGTCTACATTGTTTTTTAAAAATGTACAGAAGGTTCCTTAACTATTGCTTTTGATGCATTTTTGGCATCTCAACTTTGAATGAAGCAAACTAGTATCTTAATTCATTTAAGTCTCTAAATCGAAGGTAACATTTCATATTTTGACCAAAACCATCCCGCTTGGCAACCTAAATTCTTAGTGCATTTCTAAAAAAATGCCCAATGAATTAGTCCATACCATGAACATTACAAAACACCATGCCATATAGCTGCCCAAAGATATTGCAATTGGTGTCTGGTCAATATCGACCTCGGCAACTCATTCGTTAACCAATTAGAAAAATTTTGTTCAGGATGTACATGAAATTCAGGATGGGTATTGGGTACCGTAGGTTGATGTTCTTGAAATGGATACCCAAATAATTAATGAGACATTTACCATCAAATTTGCTGCTGGAAATTTTATGAACAGTTTTTCCCCATTGTGCTTAAACTTCTTGATCAGAAGCGCAGAAACTATACCTCTCTCCATTTTTCAGCGACAAAACGCCCTAGCACACCAGGTCCGACGATGAGCAAGTCATTTTCCCCACTTGTGACAGCTTCATTATCTAAAATGGAATCGAAAAAAGCGATCAAACCCCAATAAAGACGTTAAATGAGCAAGACCAGAACAGAGATACTACCACTAGCAGAAGAATAAGCTTTAGCGGCGAGAGATACGTCCATAGAAGGCGAGTAATTGATAGAAGCAAAACTGCTAGCCGATAAAGTTAGAAATGAGAGTGGGTTTCTGCAATTGAGCTCTGCGGGGCCCAAGCGAGGAGTAATCCCTATCCTCTTGTCAGTGGCAAGTGTGATGGAGAGCGGCAGGCATACTCTGCTGCTCATTCTTGTTTGTTGTGACCGGATAAATGTTACGGAGTACCAAAGTTCCAAAAAGTTAATCCCTAACCCCAAAAACTTCTCGCATTGTTTATTCTTATTTTATTCAGATCAGATCAGAAAAATTCAAATCAAATTAGATCAGATCAGAAAAATTCAGATCAAATCAGTTCAGATCAGAATCATTCAGATCAGATCAGAAAGATTTAGATCAGATCAGAAGCATTCAGATCAGATCAGGAACATTCACATCAGATCAAGAAAGTTCAGACATGATTTATTCCTTTTATTATAATAATAATTATCATAATATTAATAATAATTATAATTATAATTATTATTATTACCATTATTCTTGTTGTTGTTATTGTAATTATTATTATAATTACTATTATTATTGATATTGTTATTATTATTAGTATTATTATTATTATTAATAATATTAATATTATTATTATTATATTATTACTATTATTATTACTATGATTATTATTATTATGATATTTATTATTATGATTATTATTATTCTTATTACTATTATGGTGGTTGTTGTTATTGTTATTAGTTTTGTTTTTGTTATTATTACAGTATATTATATGGAGTAATTACAATTAAAATTATAGAAATATATATTATAATTATAATTATAATTATAGAAATAACTATAACTAAAACTATAATTACAATTATAATTATAGCTATATTCATAACTAGTTTAATACGTATAATAGTTATACCTATTACAATTATGATTATAATTATAATTATAATTTTTTTAATTATGATTATAATTATAATTATTTTTAATTATGATTACAATTATGATTATAATTATAATTATAATTTTAGAAATATTCAAATCAGATCAGATCATAAAGATTCAGATCAGATCAGAAGGATTCAGATTAGATCAGAAACATTCAGATCAGATCATGAACATTTAGATCATATCAGAAAGATTCAGATCAGATCAGATCAGAAAGATTCAGATCAGATCAGAACTTAAAAAATTCAGATCAGAAACATTCAGATCAGGTGAAGAGAACAGCTTCTTAGTCCATTGATGGTGGATCTTGTATTAGTGTGCATCAGAGTTCCAATATAGCAAAAAGATGTAACCTACATACGATCGTTGCAGATTTCGATCATTGATCAATGTTTTAACTTTCTTACAACTTAACCAAATGAGTTACTTGCGCGGGTTGGATAGATGTTACCAAAAAATTATGACAAGGCAGTGTTCCTGTATCACATGGGCTGTCGGATCACGGGTACAGAATGTTAAACACGTACTCCCTCCTTAACATTCATATCTTCTCACTTTCCCTTTTTGGACGTAACATTTATATCTTCCCATTTCTAAATCTTCCCATCATATCCTCAATAATTTTAAAAATAATACACTACTACACCTACTTTTTTTGGATTTATCCTTTATTCCATCACATTATTTCACCATCTTCTCATCACACCCTTAATAATTCATACCTCATTTCACTATTCTTAATCTCACCCACTTTGGAAGTGGGAAGATATGTGATACGGAGGGAGTAGTATATAGCAGTCGGGATATTCATTGTATTCTTACTTCCACGATTAGAAATTCAGAATAAACTCATGTTTACATATAGTACTATAGTGTACGGTTTTGTTCATGGTATGAGCAGTGATTTAACGATCCAATACACATTGACACTGCGCTTCGACGATGACTAACGACAAAGTGAACCTAACTGGACACGGAAACCAAATGCAAAACGAACAAGGACGACGGAAGATCAATGATATCTCTTCCCCATATTACCTTTCGAGTTCTGATTTTCCAAGACTCAACATTTGCGGCATGGTTCTCAAAGGAGAGGAAAATTACCGTGAATGGTCGATGACAATGAAGGGCAAAACGAAAAGTAGGGTTTATCGATGGGAGCATAAAACAGCCAACGAAGAGTCAAGAGGATTTGGTGGATTGGTTAACAGTGAATTCTATGATTATTGGTTGGTTCATGACTTCAATCGAATCATCAGTACGAACCAATCTGACCTACTTCGACAGTGCAGTGGAGTTTCCGGAGGATCTCAAAGCACGTTTGGTCGTGGGTGATGCCATGAGGACGCATGAATTGAAGCGATCCATTAGAGGGTGCGCCCAGAAGGGCAAGTCCATTACTGCGTACTTTGAGAAGCTTAAGGCCCTTTGAGATGACTATACTGGCTATGGTTTCAATCGGAATGCACATGTGGAGGATGCACTTGTGATCTCACTGAGCAATATCTCAAGCACATTGAAGCTGAGGAGTGTTGCGCTCAAATATTTTGAGTCGATATGAACTGCCATCCTTGACTAGAGTGCATCAAAGTGTAATCCAAAAAGAAAGGCATAGGAATATGGTCAAAAGCAGAGAAGAGAGAACTGATGTCATGGCGTTTGCGGCAAGATCTGGATCTTTTGCAACTAGGGGAGAAGACCAGAGAAGTGCACATTCTGTCACAAAATAGGGCACGTCGTTCATAATTGTTTCAAGAAAACAGGACGGTACCCGGAATGGTGGTTTGTCAATCCCGGTCGGGGACGTGGTAATGTGGACGAGAGAGAGGTAATGTGGTTGTTCATGTCATCTTCGGTGAACCAAGTGATGGTGAGACAACAAAGGGTAGTGCTAAAATTGTGCCAACCAAAGTTCCAGGCTTCTCTGATGAGCAATGGAAATCTTTTTTCAGCTAGTTGAAAATTGTAAGCAACAATCAAAGGAAGAAAAACTCTCAGATATGGTGAATGGCTCCTCAATTCTGGAGCTTCTTACCATATGACAGGTAGTGCACATCTGATTGACAAAATAGAAAAATTGAATCCGGTCCCGGTTAGTATACCAAGGATGTTTTCTTTTGGACTGTTTTCAGTCTCAGACTAGATCAGACCAGACCAGACCAGACTTGACTTCCATAGTTATAAAATACACAGAGACCACACATTTACTAGACCTCACCTGACCTGACCAGACTAGACCAGCAAATTTCAGTCCAAAAGAAAACATTCCAAATGGGAAAATAACATATGTGACATTTGTGGAGTCGTACACTTGAGTCCGACAATACATTTAAAAAATGTACTCTTAGTACCGGGGTTGAAATGCAATTTAATCTTGGTAGCATAATTAATTGACTGTTTGAAATGTGATATTTATTTTACTAATGATTTATGTGTGATATAGGGCCTACCTACGAGGATGCCGATTGGAGTGAGTAAACGAAGCGGGGGAGTTTATTATTTTCACTATCTGAATCACATTGGAGCTCATGCAATCAAGACCACACAATCAGGTGATCTGTGACATTCAAGATTAGTAGGACATCCATCCAAGACACTATTATGTCTAGTTAATAATTTGAAAATTTCTTTTTTTAAAGTTGATGTAAATAATGTTTAATTTGTGATGCATGTTTGTGTGGGAAACAAACTCGTGATGTTTTCAATAATAATACAACTATTTTTGAGTTAATTCATTGCGATATTTGGGGCCCTTACAGAACACTTGTATCGTGCAGTGCACAATATTTTTTAACCATAATGGTTTATTACTCCAAGGCAATTTGGGTACATTTGATATGTCAAAAGGGCGAAGTGCAAAATGTCTTGAAATAATTTTTGCCATGACTAGCAGTCAATTTAATAAGCAAGTCAAAATTGTTAGAAGTGTGACATTAAAATGGAATTTCAAGAAATAAAAGAATATTTTAAAGAGCATGCCATAATGTTTCAAACATCTTGTTTATATACCCCTTAACAAAAAGGACAAGTAGAACGAAAACATTGGCATATTCTCAATACGGCACACACACTTTGATTTCATGCACATTTACTGAATGTGTGTTGACGGCCGAATATCTTATAAATAGATTATCGTCTCCACTTTTGGATAATAAAAGTACATATGAATTATTATACCAAAATCTACCTAGTTATGACCGATTACGAGTTTTTTGGATGATTGTGTTATGCTCATAACAAGGATCGTGGTGGAGACAAATTTGCCCCATGAGGTGTTCCATGTGTATTTTTGGGATATGCTTATTCACAAAAGGGCTAGAAAGTGTTTGATTTGGGAAATAAACGTCATGTTATTTCACGTGACATTCGTTTTGTTGAAACAATTTTCCCGTATAAAGATATATCCAAAGGATGTGTTTCACGAGAGGTCCGGAAGATGCTGAATTGCATATTGTCTGTAAAACTCTCTCTTCTCGCACAAAACCCACTCAATAATAAAACTAGACTTCAAAGGCTATCCAGGGACACCTTAACCACCCCATTTAGATGAGTATAACTCCAGTTATGGAGGGAGACAACCAGCACACTCATTTTGTGCAGAAATAGACTAGGTGGCCCCAAATTTGATGCCAGTTGTGTCTTGTGCAGCTCCTCTCTATTTTGTCCGGCCAAAGTAAGTATCTTTACTTATTTTATATGTCTTGAAGGTACTCAAGTCAGGTGGAATGATTCCCAATTGATGTCAATCAATTTGGGGTCCAAAATATCTACCAATACTTTCAAAAATAGAAAGATGGGTCCTATTGTTTTATCTTTTGTCAAGAGATGTCTTTTTGTACTCATTCTAATTTATTTAGAACAAGTCAACCTTCTACATCATAATATTTATCTCCAATATGTGTAGGATCATCCCAATAATTTATTTGATGAAAATTTTAAAAGAATACTCCCATTATTTAGCTCAATAATGTCAAAGATGGACCATAGGCATTTGTATTCTTCCCTAATCATCATATCCCAATATTTATGACATTAGTATTTATATTCTTGGGCTACAAGCCGTGTGGGTCACCCTCGAGTGGGCCTAGGACGCCATTCTTGAATACTCCCTCCGCCCCCTTTTAAATGTCCCGGAAGAGAGTGACACGAGTTTTAAGAAAAGTGGGTTTGTGTGGTTGATAGTAATTGATAAAGTAAGAATAAAGTAAGAATGATTTTGAGCCACACAAACTTTACCAAATAAGGTATTAGACAATTAAATAGGGACATCCCAAT